AACATGGCAACGTATTTGTGCCGAGCAACATATTAACATCTGTTTTTGCCATTTTCCCTACCTGTGTCCAGTATAATCGACCTTTTAACACAAATGTTTCAAGAACAGCCAAATAAAAAAAAAATAGAGGAAAAATAGCATCACCACTCAGATGAGCTGTTGCTATGCAAGTCGGATAATAAAACCAAGAAAAGAGAAAAATAAAACTTAGTAGTTCTATAGACAGTCCCCTGATTTCTTTGCAGACTCTCTCGTTAACATTAATAATGTTACACTGACTCCAACTTATTATTGTCCTTTTAAAAGACGTGAAAAAATCTTTTCTTTTTGTAAACAGATAAAACTAAACCTTATTGTCTTTTCTTATCTGTTTTAATCTGGTGCTAATCTTCTCTTCACTGTTGTTTAAGTTTAAAAAAGTATGGAAAAAGGAAAATGAAACATGTTTGTCCATCCAGTCATCTGTCGATCCATTCATCCACTAATCTTTCCAGCCATCCTTTGCTTCCTCCTTCACAGCCTGTTTTGCAGGTTGTACATTTAAATCCTGTCCATTACACCCAGAAATTTGACTGATAAATCTGGAAATGTCAGCAGGTTATGTAGGAATCTTGCCTGTGGGTGGAGCTGTTTCATAGATAATTTTGCAGAAACAGAATTATTTCATCAGTGCAACAACTTATCTCGCCTTGCCAGGCACCACCAGTAGAAGTCAGAAAAAAGCTGTTTTATTTTATTTATTCTGTAGATTTGGCTCAATAGAGATTGCGAGAACTCTTTGGAGAGTTCTGATCTTCAGGACAAGAAGGATGTAGTCTTAACATTCTCTGAAGGGATGTTTTCTATTATGATTTTGTTTGTTCTGTGCAGGATCTGAATGAAAACCCAGATGAGAAAAATCCAGATGAAGAAGAGGAGGAAGAAGAAGCGTTTCAGGAAACAGAATGGGTTGATATCACAGAGGGATTCAGTGTCCGGCAGCAGAAGAAGGTGAACTTCATGTTTTCCTTTTGCATCAATGACTTTCTTCAAAATCCAAAATAATGAAATCTTTTTTTTTTTTTTTTTTTTTTTTTTACTGTAGTGTTTTATTTTATCTTACCGTTTTTCTCCTAAATGTTTTCGTCACGTATCACTTCTCTGTATGCACAAGTTATGTCTTGATTAAACAAGAAAAAGTATGCTGATTCTGCAAAACAGTTTTCATGCAGGACTGAGATTCTTGAAGCATGATTACTTTGAGTAATAATAATAAAAAAAGTGTGAAGTACAAATCTAAAACTAAAATCTAAAATGATCTCATTGCTTTGTTCAAAACGGATTTTAAACGTGCTTGAAACTTGTCATTGAATTAGGTTGTCATCAAAAATTTATTTCAGTCATTCTATTGAGATTCATTTCAGCAAATTTCATCCTTCCAACTCTCAAATATACTTGTATATAACGCTAAACAAAAGGCCTTCTTCTTATTCAAACAATTAGACTTTACCCTCCTTGCCTGCTCAAATGGATATACATCAGAATATGAGGATCTTTTAGGCCTGCTAATTTAACAAATTTAGCAGCTGGAAGAAAATTATTGTATTTACCTGATTTTCATTTGTTTCCGTCTCTGTCCAGTGGCCGTATCGGTCTCGATCTCTGTGCTGCACCCTCTGCAAGTACTCATCACAAAACCTCTACAACTTCAGAAGCCACGTCTCTCGCTGCCACGCGTACGTTCAGTCGTACTGCGCACTGGCACCCTGCTCTCAATGCCTCTTTATCGCTCACCCCAAGATCGTCAAGAAGCACATGCTCTTCTTCCACGCCAAACTGCCCGTCCCAAACATACAGCCGCAGAAGGAGAGTGGGTTCACCCATCGCTCTGCAGAGAGGTATCAATGTCGAAGGTGCGGATTCCCGACATCCTCTATCTTCGCGATAAAGAAGCACATCATTCTCAAGCACCTGGATCACCTGGCAGAGCAGTACATTGGTTACAGATTGCACCAGCAGGGGACTACGGCAGTAAAGATCTACTGCTGCAAGGTGTGCAAGGTAAACACTGGAACTCTAGACCAAATGTTGCACCATATGCTGGTGGAGCCAGCACATTATACAGTTACCATTCAGGTGCAGAGTGTCATTACAGAAAACAAGAACTACACTGTTAAACCAACTTCTAATGGAAATGGATTGTTGGTCACATTCCCAAATATTGCTCCCAAACCACAGGCGCCTCAGATATTTCCCAGTAACCAGCTGGTTTTGCCCAGTAATGGCCAACCTGCTGGGACTGTTGTGGCGGTGCAGCAGCTGCAAGGCAACACGAACAGTGCAACTCTGATCTGTACTCCTGGAACCAACCAAGCTTTCCTCCCTCCACAAGCATCGGCGCTGGTGCAACTTGCTAGCGCCGAAGCTAAAGGTTTGCTCCAGCCTGGTGCGACGATAGCCCTCCGTAGCGCTCTGCCCCAAGGGTCGTCCGTAGTCCAGCTTCCCACAGTGTCCAATGTGTCTCTGAAGCAGACACCCGTGACCTTACCCTCTCCTATAGCTCAACCACAACAGGCTCAACCACAAGGGCAGCAAGTGGTTCTTCCACCAGGACCTCAAACCAATCTGGCTGCTGGAGTCGCTCCTAAGCCTGTTGTGGCTGCACAGACTTCACAAGCAAACCACACTCCCCTACAAGGAACTATGCTCACGTCACAGTCCCTGCTGAGTCACCTTATCCCCACCGGCAACAGGGTGAACGGCATGCCCACGTACACGTTCGCTCCACTCGTCTCTCAGAAAACATCCACGCCTCTCAAGCCTGTTGAGCAATTGAGTAACTCCACGCCACAGACCAAGAGGTGGATCACATGCCCCCTCTGCAATGAACTTTTCCCTTCAAACGTCTTCGATATGCACATGGAGGCCGCCCACCAGACCAAATCTACCGCTTCCAAGTCAGAAAGCGTTGCCGCCCGAGCAGCATTCCTGAAGAAAATGCCCGACAAGACCGTCAAATGTCTGACATGCAAAATTTTGCTAACAGAGCGGGTCGTCTTCCAACACTTGTTGCATGGGCTCAATTGTTTGTACTGCTCAGCTTTGTTCTTTTCAGTCAAACAGCTTGTAGACCATGTAAAGCTGCACAATCCAGCCAGCAAGGTGTATTGTGACTTTCTTAGGCAGAAGTACAGGATATACTCCAAAGGTAACGGTGCCATCATCTTTCCTCATTTCGACGTGAACACCACCGCACCAAAGGACATCCTGGGAGAAGCAGAGGTCAACCTCGCCCTAGTCACAAGTTCTCTTGACCTAATTTACTTCAAGTTGCAAGCCAGCAGCCCACAAGAAGTTTGCCCCACACCCATGAAAATCCATAGCGCCTACTGTCCCTTCTGCAACGAGAGGTTTCAGAATCAGTCTGATCATGTTCTGCACTTGAAGCAGAAGCACTTTGTGGCGCCAACCATTCATGCCATCTTGAAGACTGAGGCGTTCAAGTGCATATACTGCAACGGGGTGTACACAGGAAAGGTCACTCAGCAGGCTGTGATGCTCCATATCCAACGGTGTCGCTGTTCTCCAAAACCGCCTCCACTGCCGCCACCGCCGCCACCGATTCCTAAGCCCACGGCTCCCACAGCTGTGCTGCAGCATCAACCACAACTAAAGCCAGCTCCACAGGTCAGTCAGCAGTCGGGACTTTACTTCCTTCAAGTGCCGCAGGGAATGACGATGACACGGGCCATAGCCCCAGCTCGTGTGATCCGAGCCCCAGCCCCTGCGGACCCTCCAGAAACCGAGGCAGAGAGGCAGCTGAAGAGGAGGCTTGAGGCAGCTTTGAAGGAGGCCATGGAGGCCAACAGGCGAGAGCGAGAAGAAAAGGCCGCCATGCGCAAGAGGAAAGAGCAGGAGAAACGGCTGCGGGAGAAGGACTTGCAGGAGAAGCAGGAATCCCCACCAGAGCCAGAGATCCCGAGCGACCCTACGGTCAAGCTCGTGTTGGAGCCGAGCGCCGTGGAGCGACGCTGCAGTGACGAACGCAGAGAGTTTATCTCAAAGTACTTCAACATGAACCCCTATGCCACCAAACCGGAGACCGAGGAGTTGTGCAGAAGGCTGTCTATAACCAAAGCAGAGCTGGCGGGCCAATTCAGCAAGAAGCGCAGCAAGTGCATGAAAAGCCTCAAGAGGAACACAGCCGCCATCTTACTCGGCTTTAACATGAGCGAGCTGAGCAAAGTGAAGCACAAGCTACTGATCCCAGAGCCAGAGGCGCCGGCTGACATCGTGGAGTCGGACGAAGAGGAGGATGAATCTGAAGAACCAGAAACGACTGGAGAACCGACGACGACTGTAAAAGGCGCGAAGGACGTGGAGGACGAACTAGAACCGATGGATGTAGGTGACGCAGAGACGGAGCAGGAGCCGATGGAATGAGCCGAGATATTTGAGATATGGACCAAAAATAAGCAAATCAAGTAACAGTTTAAATTCTAAACAGAAACTGATAATTCCCAACGACTTTTCTGTTGAGTAATAGTCTCATTTCATAAAATCTGAGTTACCCTGAAACAGAGGGCGGTTTGTTTATGTAGCCCTCGCTAATAGTGCTTTGGTCCACCTCAGTATGTCATCAGTGCTCCTCCTTCTGATTTCCACTTGGATGCAGTGACAGGTTGAGGCTTTTCTAAAACATAATGATACTGAGTTAATGAACAGCATCTCCCTGGATTCAACTTTTACCACAAACCTAAGTTCTCAGCTGCCTTTTATACCCTTTATTTAAAACCACTCACTCAAAATATTTCTAAATTACTTTGGTTCAGTTTATATTTTTTTATTACATTAGACTTTGCCTTATGAGTTTGACCTTTTTTCTGTTTTGTGACCACCGCTGCTTTTGTATTTTTCACAATTTTTCACAGACCAAAATCTACTCAGAATGTTCCTCTCTTCCCTCCAAATTTTTACACGTTTTTTTAAATATTTTTTTTAGCCTTAATTTGAATTCTCGTTTCCTGTCAGAATAACTTAATTTGTGCCATTGCGAGGTCCACACGTCTGCATAGAATTGAGCAAAGATTAAACTACACTCACACATTGCTGAATAATCCTGTGCATTGGTTTTGTTTTCCTGGCTGCTTCTTTTTGTATTAGTATTTTCTATAACTACTAGAGTATGAAAAGTGTTGGGTTAGATATAAAAGTAAAACATTCTGTCCAAGGCCACTGTGGTGTAAAAAAAAAAACAAAAGAAATAAAAAAATAAAGTGGTTTCCTTTTAAACAAATGATTCACTTTTATTTAATAAAATATGCTCATGTTAGAGTATTTTCAGAAGACATCTAGTAATTTCAGTCATGTGTTATTGGCGGTGTAATATTACTAATAATACTGTTTAATTTTACTATTCATCAGGCTGCATGCTGGGCCGCACCAACTATCTTGTGATTGGATGCTTACAATATTACGACACAGCAAGAGGTAAATCTATTCAACAAGCAAAATGCAGATTGACCTTCAGGTCTAGATGATTTTTTTATTTATTTATTTTTTACAGGAAAGCATCATAGATGTAACTACAATTACATCTACCACAATAAGAGGAATACAGTAGCCAGTTGAAAGCCTAAATGGGTGATGAGGCTGAAATGTTCTAAGAACTAGTTATATTAATGTGAGTTTGCTCAGTTAGTTCCAGGGAGCTGGTAGTGGCTCTAATTTGATCCAGGATTGAGGGGCCGGAGTAGTTGTTGGTCTGAATGGCCTGCAGTCTCTCAAGGTATTCCTTTGGAAGCCCGTTCTGTGCTGCTCCCATGCACACCACCTTCAATATGGAAAAAAAAACAAAACACAAACAACAATTAAGCAAAAACAAGAACTTTGCAAGTAATGATTGAACAAATAGTCACAGCTTGAGGGATGATTTCTCAAATGGAACAACACATTTTGAAAATCCCCCCTTTCTATCAAATAGATTCTGTGATATTTGGAGTGTTGATTTACAAAACAGTTGCCTTAAAAAAACACCCTAACCCTTAGATTCATTGTGGTTTAGTGGAAAAAAAAAATCTAAAATCATCACTTGTGTGTCCCAGTTCTTGTTCATATTGATTTCTACCTGGAAGAAGAGAAGTTTCTCACTTGGAACTTTGTGATGAAATAGAATGCAACAAAAATAAAATTATTTTGTCATGTTAGTGTGTGTTCTCGGGACACCTCTTTGTACTGTGGAGATGGAGGACAGGCGTGAAAATTGTTCATCTGGTACGTCCTGCATTGTTTCACCCCCTGGTCAGTCTCAACAGAGACCTCTAGTGGAGAGTAGTTTCCTTGGCTCACACCTTCCTGCCTTCAGGGGAACATAAGTAGAAAAAAAAAAACATGTTTAAACTGCACCAATTTAATGAGAAACTTTTAACCAGATGTGCATTTGTGCCTCTCACTTGTCTAAGGTTGGGAGGTTTTCATTGCTCAAAGTCCAGACTACACCCCACACCTCTTCGCCCTGACAGGACTCGATGGTGGCCACTCCGCCGTGCCAGGAGTTTTCAACATGTTCCGCCCACAAGCCAAGGTTCAGCTTGTAGTCCTGTGAAAAGTCCGGTTTGACTTTTCAAAAATTAAATTATTTTCAAATCACAAACTGTTTTCTAGAATATTTCGCAAGTATATAATTATTTTTGTACAGGTCTCTCCTGTCAGATATGTTGGCAACGACACTAGAATACCAACACTAGAAGCGGTCAGATCCCCCTCTCCCAAAAGAGCCTTAAAATAAATTTTCCTTTTTGAATTTTGAAAAATGAATGAAACCACAAAATATGTTTCATGCCATCTCTCTTTCTGTTCGGGCTTGTGCTTAATATAATTTTCAAGCAGGACTTCAAATAAGAAAATAAAATTGTATTTTATTATTTTACGTTTTTTTAAACAATCACAAATAAGTGTATTGTCAAATTAATAATACAAAACATTTCAGCAAAGTTTGACCATCCTCAGTGTTTTATTTTGTTCTGGAGCAAATCAAATGTACATCGGAGTCTAAAATGCTGCGTTAAAGTGCAAAGTCGGATGCCAACGTCGGCAAATTAATAACATCTCTGACCTTGACACGCATTTCTATTCAGTGTATAAAATATTACATACAGAAGACACACACACACAGAGAGAGAGAGAGACTGACAGAACTAGACTTTTCGTTCTGGTAACAATTCGAATACTGACTTCAGCTACTTTCATTAAAACCAGACAAAAACAGCGTTAGCATAGCATTAGCCAAAAAACACGACAGAAATAATGGCATGAATAATGGTTTACTACATGAATTACATGTGAAATCCTACGTAATTACATTCTGTCGTAAAGGCGCCGCGAAGAGCAACATACTGACGCCATAAAATTGATCAATTTTAATATACAAACCTTTAGTCGACCAGTAGAGACGAACGAAGCCGATGGATTCTTTAGCTGCAGTCTTTCCCTCAATAAGTTGCTTCCAAACGCAAAGTACATAAAACTACCGTGGCTGGTAGCTGACATTTCTAAAAAATATATATCAATTATTAAAAATATATAGGAAATATACGACACACACCACATCGGATTGGATTCGTTTCAACCGGTGTTCCGACTATCGGTGCTACCTCGCACTTTCTACCGTAGCACGGATAGTTAGCTATGTCTGTCAGTGCTACGCGTCCAAAACTGCTACCGTCATGTTACATGACGAAACCAGAAGATCACTTCATCTGAATATTCTACCAGTTTAAAATGAAAAACTAAACATGCATGCCCTAATCCTTTTACTAGAATATTCTACCTTTTTAAAAAATATATTTTAAATACAGAGGTGTTTGTAATAATAGTATCAGACAGGGGGAAACAGGGTTTTATTGTAATTAAATTACCGCAACTCTGTTTTGCGCAATAATATGCTGCAAGTCTGTTATCAGATGCAGTGCAGACACAACGTGTCGACCGAACTGCGCAGTGCACCGTGTACCTGAAATGATAGGATATGCTTACACTAATATTACACCGCTTTACAGCTTTAATCTCACATAGTATCGCTATCAATAGCTATTTAGTAAGGTTTAGTAAAAAAAAAAAAAGTGTAATTAAACTAAAATATTTTAAAGTATAGGGACTAAATAGCCCACAAAATAACGTATTTTGCCCTGATTAACAGCCAAACAATGACTTGTTTACAGTGGTAACGACATTGCCAAAGCCATTTATAAATATATTTAGTTGATGTCTGCCACGTAAACTAAAAACATGAAGTAAAACAACAGCTTAATGAAAGCCAGGTATTAAATAAAGCTTTCCGCAATCTTCGATGAAATAAAACGCATGAAACAAAACTTCCACAGGTAGGACGTATTGATAAGAAAGCTGCCGAGTAAGCAGTATGTGACGAAATCGATGTGCGCATGCGCATTACCACAAGGTAGGACGGATTTCTGGGTAGCACAGATCAGTTTCATACTAGAGAAAAATGCTGCTGCTACAACAACAAACAATAGTGGATCGATTGAATGCGTAATTTGCCCAAAATATACATTTCCAAAGCACTCAATCGTATCTGTAATTTGCTCAAATAAACTTTTAACTTATAAATGAACTGCAGAAGTCATAACGTGTGAATCTGACAGCAGATTAATCCATGATACTCTTTTCTTTTTCCACGTTATATTTCTACAGAGCAAGCCTTAAAACAGGTAGACTAAATATAAGAAAATGTTAACTACAATGTGCAAATGACTTAAATTATAAAGTACAAGACCTACATCACATTAAAGGACACTTAGTTTATTAGTATTACTGATTTGCTTAATCACATTTAATTTTACAATTGTAATAAATGTCCCCTAATTAACATTGCGAGCACCCCCTCAAAAAAGCAACTAATTCTTGTTTAGTGCAAAAACACTTTATTAAACATTGTTTTGAAAAAGAAAAACAGAAGCTTTGCCTTTTTTATGGTCTTAATGTACAAAAAAAAAAAAAAAAAAAAAAAAAAACCACACTGAAATTCACAAATCGTTTCCTCTAAACGAAAGGAAGAAAAAAAAAAAAGAAAAGAAAAACATCCTGTACAAACAGTGAGGTGATGAGAACGAACTGAAAGACCAGAGAATCATCTCCTTGGTCCGCCTCGCCCTCGTCCCCGTCCTCTGCCGCGTCCGCGTCCCGCCACTGAGGAGACGCGTGAACATGTTGCAACATTACCAGAAGGAAATGGAGCGAGAATGGAGCAGAGAAATTATTTACACTCAGTCCAAAACAAAATTATAGCAACTTTTAAACCCAATAACACTTTGAAGACTCAGCCAAAACGTGGTAAAATCTAAATTAAATGATTAAATAACTGATTTATATATTCTTTTAATAAAAATTGCTACTATGTGTATCAAAAACTTATTTGACAAACTGGAAAACTGCACGACAGGAACCAAGCAGTAATAAATATTGAAACATAGCTGAACATAAGGGATGTCTGCATTGAATTATTTAATCACAAACATTTAAACAATTGTGAGTTCATCCGTTCAAACACATATTTAATATTTTAAAATATGATGCATATAAATTATTTTCTTTTTTTTGTGTGTGTGGCACTTTTGGTGCTTGAAATTGCAAAGCAGACTTTAGAAAATGTCCCAACTATGTTAACTATGATTCACATGCAGAAATATGAGGTATATAAAAAATTTAAAAGACTGAGAGAACAAAACAAACCACACAAAACATTGTGTGCAGCACACACACAATTATTTAAAGTGCTGGGGGATTTGTTTAGCATCTTATTGATGCTAAAAAGTGTTTCAGAAAAGATACTTACACACACACACACACACACACACACACACACAAAACAAAAATTAAACATATTGTCTGTTTTACATGGACACCATGCATCAGACATATTGTGGTTAATAGATTCAAAATTCATTTAATGTGGAAAAAAAAATAAAGTTAAAGTAGAGCAGGAGGAAGAATTAAATGCTATTGGAAGCTTTCTTCTTGAGCTGAATACATTTAAAATACAAACAGCTTAAAATGCTATTAAGCCAATTAAAAGCTTCAGTTTTCAAATTACCACGTTTATTCTGAATCTCACTAATATTGTAGTTTTCTGCTTGAGGGGTTGCTGTACCGCTTCTCGCCAACTTAATGTAACTTTGTGAAAACTGTAAACATTCCTGTTGCCTCAGGAAAATTCCTCTTAACCAGAAACTAAAAACTCAAAAGAAAGAAAAAGCTCCTTTGTAGTTCTTACCTGCTTCTCTCTTCTTGGACTTGATCTTGGGCTCGATGTCCACCAGCAAGGTGTCCAGAGGCAGGCTGTCCGGCAGGATGAAGTAGCGGATGTTGTTGCCTCGGATGCTCAGCGACTCCAGCTGGGTGGGCTCCCTGTTCTTCAGGGTCATCTTCACCGCCTTCAGGTGGGTGTTCATGCTCACATCAACGCCTGCGAACAGAACAACAATGTTTTGAGTTAATAAAGTTTAGCGTTTATGGCTTGCAGGGATAACTCAAAAAGGGCGGAGTTTTAAACCTGTATCTGCAATCATGATTCTACAACTTTAACAGAATAGTAATATTTCAAAATCCAGATAGAGTAAAGCTGATCCTTCAGGCCAATTAATGTCAGTAGGCTGAAGGAATACGATTCAGTACAAAACCCTGATTTGGTCTATGAAGACAAGTAAATTGGCTCAAAGTAACTCCCTTTTAATCACAGCGGTCTTCTGGTTGTTTCTTGATCCAGACTGGAAAAAAAAAAAAACACCATTTCTCTGTGATGAAAATTGCAGAAGTCTTCATCTCAACGTTAGTACGGCTGGTGCCGTTAGAACCTTTAAAAGCAGACCTGAAGTGTCTGTCACCGAAAGATGGGAGGAGTTCTCTACACACTTTTCTCTCATTTGCAAGTTTTGCTGCCATTTAAAAAACAAACTGCACAGTACTTTATGCTGCAAATTTGCACTAACTGTACCGTGCGTTATTCTTGGTTCTGTTTTTATATTTTAAAGTTTTTTATACGTCTACATGCTTCAGCCTGCTGCTGGTTATTTCTATTCTCTTACCTGTGATGGTGCCGTGAACCTGGGTGCCATTTTTTAGTTCGATGGTGACAGTCTCATGGCTGAGCTTCATCAAAAACCTGTGGACAGCATTGCAGGTGGGTTAAAACGATATCTGGGCAGAACTTTTTAATACACCTGCGTTACTTGGACTGTTGCTATGGAGCCTAGCATTAGCTCGTTAGCCTGTATTATTAGCTTCTGCATGTTGAGTTTTTAGTCTCACAAAACTCGAAATAAACACCGACTAGCAATTTATTTATTTTAACAGCTAAAGCAAACAAACAAACAAAACAAAAAACCGAAATAAACCACAGTATTTTTTCCAATAGCAATAGATCATGGGAAATGGAAAGACGCAACTTTATGTAGTAGGTCAATGCTAACGTACACCGAGACTAGCGTAAAGCATTAAAACCTGCATACAACCAATTTTCGGATATCATAACTGCAGCAGAACTAGAAGTCTCTGCATAATCATTGGAGCATTTCATTTGTAACATCGCTCAGACTCCATTCATTAGGAAGTTCTTCCCGCCTCTTCGCGATCAATTGGCTCCCAATCTTCACCCATCCGTCTCCATCGGCTCGACTTTTTCACCTCAAATCCCCGCACGCGTTAAACGGTAACCCCCTGTCTCCCCTTACCTGACTAGTTTCATGGTGGTGGAAACCAGTAGAGAGAAATCCTCCACTGAAGAGAAAAATTACAGCGATCGAGTGAAAACACAGGCCGCCGTTGTGTGTAGGAGAAACGTTCAGGGATGTGACGTCATCAAGTAGCGTCCGAGAAAAGAAGGGAACCTGCGCTGCTGCCGCCTAGTGGCAGAAGGATGAACACAAAAAGTTCAAATTCGCAAGTTTTTACTATAATTTGTTGAATAGGTCTTTCACATTTAACCTCCGAATGGACAGGCACATAAATACTAAAGGTAATTAAAAACTAATTTATTACCGGACAGTTTTGTATTTTTTTAAGGACGTTCGTCAAGTCAGTTACATTCATAAGCAATTAATATTTTCCATCTTATTACATTAAAGCCACCATGTTCAGAATATTTTGTTGGGATCTTATGTAATATAATGACACAAATTAACACATTACTGTGGAGATATATACACATAAAAATGGGGGGGAGAGAAATGCAAAGGGGTGATTAAAGTATCTCTGATCAACTTCCCTTTTTGATGTTGGACAAGTGTGCACTTGAAAGCTTGTTTTGGTAGATTCCAACTTGACAACTCTTTAAAATAAAGATTTATGTGTGTAGGCAACACTAAATCTAAAAAGCAGCTTCTTGACAGACACTTTACTAACTTACTTTTCTAAAAGTAAAAGTGCAACACCTTGGTTTTTAAGTACGTGTTAAAATAAAGCTGTGGAGGTAAAACCTAATATCAGCCAATAAATTAGTTGACTGTAATTAATTTACTACAATTGATTTACTATCGTCTCAGAATCAGTTCTACAGAGGCATTGGCTCCTTTTGTCCCCACCTCCTCCTTTTAGAACCGTCACGATCAGCACATTTCTAATTAAGATCACATGTTTGACCTGATTACATTCTTGTAGTTGGAGAACTCCAGAAAGACACAAAAACACATTTTCAGTTCTTTTTTATTGAGTAAACTCTGCACTGACACTTTCACTTGTAGATTTGGCCACACATCAAACCTTTCTTGAGACCAGGCGGGAATGTATCAAGTAAAATCAATGAAGAGTGCAGTTTCTTTCTTCTTTTTCCCTTAATTTATGAAGTTGTTGGTTCAGCGCAATAAATCAAGAATACAGTGAGAGGGGCACCAAATGGCACTGGACAATTATTCAACACAAACAACCCTATTCTCATGTAGAAAAAAAACAAAAGTAATAATCATTCTACTCCACCTGCCAGCTGTGCTGGTGTAAAATGAAGACTTCAGGTTCAGTGCTTCCACTGCTCTACGATGTAAGAGAAAACCGACCTGTAACCTGAAACGTTACGCCTCGCACCGGTTCCTCCGACGTCGCGACAATCGACGTTAGCCGTTTCATTTGGGGTTGTCACGTCAGCTGCATCGGATCTCGAGCCATGAAAGTTTGATTAAAGCACCAAAGCGTCTCTCACCACAGCGGGCAGTGTTTGAATCTCCTGTAAACATTACAGCAGGGAATAAAATGACGCAATGTTCTAGCCTGAGCTAATGAAACAAACTGAACATTCAGATAAACCCGCTGCTCATTTGTAGTGTGAAAACCCTCCTAAAAATCAACCTCGTCACCGTGGGGCTCATTTAGGACAAATGAGTATCTAAAGCGGCGTTTCCTCCGTTTTCTTTAAATAAAATCTTTGCTCTGCAGGTCTAAAAAGTGAAAACTATAATAAATATAAACAAATACAAGATAAAAAGGCACACAGACCAATAAAACTCTGGCCTTAACTCTTGAAAAGAAGATCATCTCTGTCTTAATTCATAAAGGATAAATCTTTTACATCATTATACCAGTTACATCAAACTATACCAGTCAACAGCAGTGGAGTAGATATGATCTGCTTTACAGTACATTAACTATAACTTTGTCTCCGCTATTATGTGCAAAACTCTTAAATCAAGCAGAACATAGCAAATTAAGTCGCTTGAGGTGTTTTTCCTCTTAAATGTTAGAAGAAAATAATGCATTTAATGACTTTTGCTGTAGTGTGAATTTCTTTTCTTTACAAGCCTCAACATCAAAGTTAAAATAATGAGCGTAATTAAGTTAGATATCAGCATATAAGGCGATGCGTGTTATTCCCCTATAAGAATTACATGACGGCAAAAAAAAAAAAAAAAAAAAAAACTCCCCTCAAAAAACGTCTTTAACCATTTCACATTATATTGTTTTACATTTTGATTCGCTGGAAACTTGCCTTTCAAAACAACTCGCCTGAATGCGTCATAGCTGAGATTTACTTTGAAATTACGCAAATTTTAGAGTTTTGCAAACAAAAATTACGAGCCAAAGTGAGTTAAATGCAGCTTTGATCAGAGGTTTACACAGACGCACCACGGTGCTCTACGGCTGTCATATTAATTTGGGGATTCAATAATTAATCTTCACATTTTTGAAAATCATAACATGGCGCACAAATTCAGTTTTAAAAACAAAGTTCGGGTGGAGACGTCTTTTCTTCGGCTCAAATATGAACAAATATTCACACATATTTAGCTGCATATGGAACAGACGGCTGCACTTCATTTGTATGCTTTTTCAAGCCATCGACAGCTGCTATTGTCACAGCTATAGCTAGCTAAATCACTTAGCTAGCTAAACCATTAGCTAAACCATTTAACTAAATATTGGGGTGCATTAACATATTTGAGCCTGGATGTATAATTCTGACCATGATTGCTGTTGAGAAAATCTCTTAACTTATTCATCTACTTCTTGGTCCAATGCTCCTAAAAACGGCCTTAAATGGCATAAGGAGGAGCATTGTTGTGATGACGTGCTGAAGGTGGGAGTGTTGGAAAGTGTTGGAGCTTCTTAAAGAGACAGAGGCCCAATTTCAAGGTGCCAAATTGCAAAGTTTGACATATGCAGCATTTTGATAAAAACTGAAAGTAACAGTTACTTGACTGGGTTATAAAATGGCATTATGTGCCTGGAAAATACACACTATTGCCCCTTGCATAACTATTCCAAAGTGTGAAATAAACTAAATAAATAAATCAATTAAAACCCCAAATAAATAGGACCAGTCCTCCATGATGAGTATATGTAAACGCCTCTATTCTTCAGATGCACTGAAATGATTCTTTCATCTGAGAAGTGCCTTTGAGCAAATCAGTCCACCGTGAGAAGGGATTCGACTTTAAACGTCCCTGCAGCAGAAACACAACAGTACAACATAAGAGCGATGCAGGAGCGATCAGTGTGTTGGCACCAACAACAGGCACGGGAATCTGAAGTAAGCCCCTCTGATTGTACAGCGCACCCATCGGGCTCCGGGTTTACAGCAATCATCTATAATCAGTCAGTCAGTCAGTCAAGTGTTAAAACATGAGGCAAGTTTGGATTGCAGCACCAACACTTCATCCCTAAACTCAGGAAATAAATATGAGAAGCTGGAGCATAAATAATGGCAATAATAAAAATAAAAACCATGGTTCATGTGTTCTGATATCAACGGATTTTCTTTCACCTAATCTGAAACTTTTGTTGTTGTTGTTTTCATGAATAATTGGTTGTCTGTTTCTGGAGCAACAGACAGAAAGCACTTGGACTGTCCAACCTGTGTGTGACATCATCTTTAAATACAGTATGGTACATCCGGCAAACACTCTGATCGGTTTCCTCTCTGCTCGCCGTCACACCAAGTGTTCCTGCTCCTCCCACTCCTCCGGTGACCCGCCGCCCTCCAGCTGCAGCACGGTGTCCGCTTCGCTCTCCGCCGCCGCCGGGTCAGCTTGGCCATGTGACCGCGGGTGTGTGTGCTCTTCGTCCAGCGACAGGTCCGACACACACCCTGCGCTCACACCCTCCTCTCTGACGTCTGTATTTTCCAGCTCCAAGGAGTCGGGCCTCTTTGGGGCCTCGCGGCCGCCGCCGGCTGCGCCCTCCAGGGGCTGCCAGACCGGTGCGGCGGTCCCGTCCTTCTCGGCGCCGGCGTGCGTGTCGGGGGAGGAGTCCGTTTCTGTGGTGGGCGGGGACGGGATGAGAGCCAGGTTCTGGGGGTTGTTCTGGGGGTTGATGTTGTTGTTGAACCAGGCCATGATGTTGTCCAGCAGCTGAGCGCTGGCTGTGGGGTCCAGGGCCTGCAGGCTCTGGGGGTCGCTGGGGGTGAAAGGGCCCCCTGGTGGAATCACCGGGGAAAGCAGCAGCTCCGCCTCCAGCTCCGGCGACGGGAGGCACAGCTGGACAGGAGGCTGGGGCTCGGACCGGGGCGGGTCCAGAGCGTAGGTGGAGGGATGTTCGGCGGTGTAGGAGCTTCCCGGCAGGTAGGAGCGCTCCACTTCGTCCGGATCCCGGCTGTACACGCCAGGATGGGGGGGGTTATGAGTGCAATCCAGCACACAGGAGGCAGTGTGTTCACTCTCAGCCGAATAGGAGCCGCAGTAGCTCGGCTCTTTGCTGTCATGATGGGGGTCTGTGACGGCAATCTGATCCAGACCGTCGTGTGGAGTCGATGTGTTCTGGTCCGGCCTGTGGCCGCAGTCGCTGTAAGGAGCGGCGAGCGTGGCGCGGCTGCACACCGGCTCCGGGTCCATGTAAGGAGTGGTGATGTTCCCCAGCTTCATAAGGCTGTCTCCCAGCTCCAGCAGCTCGGCGCTGAGGGTGGGAGGAGGGGGCGGCAGGGGCAGGGAGCTGAGCACGGACGGCTGAGTCGTGGTGGAGTCTGTCCTGTTGGGGGGACGAGGGGGGTCCAGCAGGGAAGCGGGGAAGGAGGGGCCACGGGCTCCCGGAGGGTCCTCCATGTTGAGGGAGTGCAAAGCGACGTCGGCCAGATCACCCGCCGTCCCCGGCCTCCTCTCCGCGCCGCCGTCCGGGCCCTGCTCTCTCCGGGACTCCTGGAGCGACAGCTGGATGGCGAGGAGGATGTTGGGGTCGTCTTCGTCGAGGGAGCCCAGGGCTCTCCGGCGACCTTCAGTCCTCTCTGCTGGATCTGAAACGAACGGCGAGAAGGAAATATCACGGTGAAACGAGGCCTGATGCGCTCCACCGGATTATAAATCGATCCGAGTGATTACGGCATGTTTGTGCTTCGATTGGACCAGAGTGATGGAGCAATAAAGTAAAATCCTATTTGCTGGCTGTCTGCTGCACTGACAAACCAGTTATATATAGAGGCAAGGATAGAAGTTGCATGAGTATTTGTCAAAATCAGAGAACTGCCCCCTTTATAGTAAACCACACAGAAACCTGCACAAGATTCAAGCTTTTCGTGGTAAAATATACAATATTCATGCCTCTTTACATTAAAGTTGATCTATTCTGCTTCCTCAAAGAGGATAGGATAGGTCTATTGCAAAAACAAAACAGGTTCATGACTTTTTTTTTAACCAAATCATTGTTAGGTAATGAGATTTTAGTCTGATCGGTTCTGCTTTTGAGCTGTTTTAGGGTCTCTTGTCACTTTAAATCCAATTAATCTGCTGCTGGCCACGCCCTCACAACTCTACATGTGCGCGTGAAAATGGCTGCAAACAAGATACACAATTATGAAAAGCATTAGTAGAGCCTCCTGCACTACCGGCAAGAATGCAGCAATAGGTTTCTGAATAATAAGTCAACAAAAAACACTTGTTTATTCCAGTAGCCATTGTACAGTGCATATAGCAATAAAACCAGCTGACCAAACGTGCCGGTGCTCCGCAAGTTGATGCCCAGCGCTCCTCAGGGGTTGCTAGGCAACAATACAGCGCCCATTGATTGTAATTTATCAGTTTTTGAAATGGCTCATTTTCCAGACCCCCAAAAACTTGTCTGGGTGGTTCTTCAGCACTTAGACTGTTTATAGAAATAATTGAGACACAAACGGAAGTATAAAAACATACAACAGGTGAGCTGTGCATAACAGGTCCCCTTTAAAACTATAAACCTCAGAGTATTTTATTGAGCTCTTATGTCATAACCAACAGCACTCCAAATTTGGAGGTGGGGTAAAACTTTCCGGAGAGGCATAACGAAAGCTATTGTTGAAAGAAAGTTGTCAAATGTTCCTGTGGGAGATTTAGAATAGATGTAACCTACCATCTGCTGTGTAGAGCTGATTGAAGGACAAACGGATTAATAAATACAGAACTGTCATGGCAGAAAACCTGTTTGGAGGCTGCAGAAGACTTGAGACACTGGGGCGAGGTTCACCTTAGCAGGACCGCGATCCTGAGCACACGGCCAACCAGAGCTAAATCCAACTAATATTTTGTTGTTAGACCTGAAAATTAATGTTCATAAATGTTCTTCATCCGACCTGATTGAGCTCGAGTGGTTTTACGGAGAATATTTATGAGCAAAGCTCCAAAAGATCACTACAAGTGTTCACTCTGCTTTACGATTATGCACTACTCTCTGTTGACCTTTCGCATCAAACTTTCATCGAGTGCATCTCGTGATTCTAAGCTCACTAAATGTGAAGAATTCAGGTGGATAAAATGGCAGAGAGTGTGTGTTAAAACTGCTGCCGGACCTGTGTTATCGCTCCTCCTGCTGGTCTCCGGCGTGTTGCTGCTGCTTCTGAGGTTGTGCAGACTCAGCATGTCTCCTCTGCGTCGCGGTCTGTGTCTGCGCCGGTACTGGATGTCAGCATAATCCTGCAAAGAGCCGTCACCGCGTTAGCCCATTACAAACAAACGCCAGGGCAGGTGTCTCATAAAGTAGTTCATAACGAGCAGGCGTGCAGCCGCAGGGGAGCAAAATATAGGCCATGCATTTGCACTTTGTGCCAGGGAACTATGGTACGTTACCTGCGACTGTCTCTCTCTGTGATCTCCTGCTCCCAGTACAGAGTGACGGCTTCCCATCTTAACACACATAAGTACACTATGTCAGCTGCAGTCATGCTGTAGCAGGACCTTCATGCAATGGCAGGTCAGTAACGGTAAGCTTAGGAAGCACAAACGCAAAAGTTTAGCTGATGAAAAATGTGACAAAAGCGTGTTTTTTTTTTGTTTGTTTTTTTTTTTGGCAACTACCTCAGGTGATGCAAAGCCAAGGTACTCCCAGTCCCAGGATCCTCCAGGGTAACTGCAATACAGATTCATCCAAAAGGTTCCCCACATATTTTATACAGTTTCAGACTTAAATGGCTCATTTCAAAATAGAAAAAGTTTGATATGAATTATGGTAGACATTTCTAGGTGACGAGCTTTAAATATGCAGAAAAAACCCAAACAATCCCCCCCTCAATAAATAAATAAATAAATAAATAAATAAAGCTACAAGGACAAGACAGGAAGGGGAATAGGACACATGGGAGAGAATGCACAACAGAGGATTATATCTAAGGAAGGACAAAAAAAAGACAAGAAAGGAAGGAAAGCAAGACATGAGGTTGGGAGGAAGGAGAAATCAAAGAAAAGAAGGAAGGAAGAGATGAATAACAGAAAGAAACGACAGACAAGGATGTGATGTAGGACACACAGGGAGAAGGAAGAAAAAGGACAAGAGAATAAGGGAAGTGGGACATAGAATAAAAGGAAGGAGTAACAGAACAAGGAACGGAGACAGGGAGGGCCCAAGAATGAGAATAAAGGCAGAAGACCACTAGGAAAGTAAGAGAGGAATAAAACAAGTAAGAAAGGATAACCCAGAAAAGAAAGGAAGAGTGGACACTAAGATGGAAGGGAGAACAAAAATTAAAAAAAAGAAAAAAGGAAGGAATTGAGGACACAAGGAGGAAGGACACAAAAACTAAGTGATAAGGACAGAAGGATGGATGAAAGGTAAAGATAGAAGGAGCACCGGAGAAAGGAACAGAAAGACAACGATGTATGGACAGGAAGAAAAACACAGAAAAGGGAATAAAGAACACTTTCCTTACCCATATTTATGCAGGCCTGTGTAGCAGTTCCATGTTCAGTGAATTTCAGATTAAAGCAACAAGAACGACACTGTTAACAAGCAGATTTGTCGCTTACTTCCTGCGGGGCGGATCGGGAGAGTCGTTGGGAGCGACGCCGCGGGCCACGGACGCCAGGAACTCCTGCCGCTTCTGCTGCACCAGCCGCGCCGCGCTGATTATTTTGTGCCGCGGCGTCCTGAGGTACGGCCGGTTGACCTTCTGAGCCAGATCCTCCACCACCATCTCCAGGTCCGTCTGGCGAAAACAAGGGGGACAGGATGAAAAAAAAAAAAAGAAAATCCCTGAAAGGTTTCCCCGTTCTGGACATTAGTCAAGAGTACCTGCATGAGTTCAAATATCTCCTTCTGCGTGCTGCCCTGCTGCAGAAAGAAGCCGTACGGGTAAGAGCACTTCAGCACACGGCGCGTCTTCAGCAGCTCGGTCACGCCGTCCTCAATGAAACGGGTGTCTGGAGGAGTGCCCTCACCTGGAGCCGGACAGATACGCTGTAACTCAAGAACGTTCGCCCAGCTGGTTCCGCTGCATAGGCAGGATCCAAACGGGCAAAGTTCAAAGACTCACGGCTAATGAAGGCTCTGCTCAGCTGCTCCATCTTCTCTTTTGCCGTTTTCAGCAGCTTCTGCTCCAACTGACCCACAGAAAGGGAAAGGATGCACAGAGAGCATTTAAACATGAAAAGCACAGCACATGGACGTGCTGATCGTTAAAGCATGCGCTTAATACCTTGTAACTGTGTTCGTGGTTCTTGAAGCGAGTGTAGTAGTGCATGAAACGGTCCAGCTCCTGGAAACTTTTGTGCTTCTTTTCTGCCTGGAAACAAATAAATAAAAATACTCAACCTCATTTGTAAATGTGCGGTAGTGTATTAGCACATTAAATTATGTGAGGCGTTCGCACATCGAGTCCCATCAACGCTGCATATGAGCCAGGATCTCGGATTGTTTGAACGCTGCTGGATCGTGGGAAACTTTAAGAACTCTTATTAGAGTAAAAGCAAGTATGACATTATTTCACACTTTGAATCGGCACTTAGGCTTTCTTTGCCATTTTCCTGATTTATCTATGCACCGTGCTACCTCTGCTGGCATAAACAAAACCATTTTCCGAGTACTTTTTCAGGCTCGTATAGCTTTGCTGAATAGTTAGGTGTAAGTTAGCTTCATATTATTTAAACTATACTAAGATATTTGCCCTAGAAACTAAACCAAAAATGAATATCTTTGATCTAATTCTGTGTTCTCAAACCACTTTTATTCTGGTTTGAGAGAAGCCTAAGCAAATCGTCTTTTAATAGGTGACAAGTGATTGTTTTGCTAATGTGGATGTAAATATGAGTAAGGGAAAGCACACTGTGACGAAGAGCCCTGTTTTACGGAAGAGGATTAGGGCCCCTGGAAAAAAAAAAAACAGTTCTGACTTTAATCTCAGAATTCTGAGATTAAAGTCAGAATCTCAGAATTCTGAGATTAAAGTCAGAATCTCAGAATTCTGAGATTAAAGTCAGAATCTCAGAATTCTGAGAAAAAATTCTGAATTCTGACTTTTTTCTCAGACTTCTGAGATTAAAGTCAGAATTTTTGGCAACACTTTGTTTGAAGGGGTGTTTATAAGACTGACATGACACTGTCATAAACATGACATAACACCTGTCATGAACATGAAGTCTTTATGAATGTTTATGACAGTTGTCATGAAGTGTCATTTGGTAAATAATGACACTTTTAATGCAAAGTTGCTCTAAAAGTTGCATTGAAAGTCCATTAAAAATGCCAACCTTGCATTAAATTATCATAATTTACAAAATCATGCAAAGTTAGCACTTTTAATGGACTTTTAATGCAACTTTTAGAGCAACTTTGCTCTAAAAGTTGACATTTACCGAATCACACTTCATGACAACAGTCATAAACATTCATAAAGACTTCTTCATGTTCCTGACAGGTGTTATGTCATGTTTATGACAGTGTCATGTCAGTCTTATGCTCACCCCTTCAAATAAAGTGTTACCGAATTTTTTATTATTTTTTTTCCCATTATTTTTTAACCCTCTTCCGTACTGTCTTAAGCTGAGAGGAAAAGAGCGTTTTTTTTTTCTTCTACCTCCACAGTCATCTCTTTGGACTGCTCTTCTAGCTGCTGAATGACCTCATAGCGAGTGCAACGATAGTAGCCTCCTGTGGACGAGCTGTGCTTCTTCCACTCCTCCAGGCATATCCAGCAGAAATCATATTTACACTGCATGGAGAGAGAGATAGAAAGGCAGCAGCGTTTGTTTTATACAGAAATACAGAGTTTGGGTCTCCAGGCAAAAATTTACAAAATTCTAGACTTCAGAGTTCATTTTAGAAAATAAAAAACAAGAGTTTGCCATGATCTGGAAAAGACCTTTCCAGACTCTGTATTGAATCTTGTATAACCCACATAAAGAGAGTCCTAAACTCTCATCATACAATTAATCAAAACGTGTCAACAAACGACAACGCGGATCAGAGATTGCGCAGCTTACTTTGGCACATTGCATGTGGTTGCAGCCCTCATTCTTTTGAATGGGCGACTTGCAGTTGGCACACGGTTTGGAGTTGGTCAACAACCACAGGCAGTTAGCGGCATCTTCGTACGCCTCGCTCACTCCTGCCACTGTGGCAAAAAAAAAAAAAAAAAAATCACATGTTGGCGACATTTCTCCTGTCCAGCACCAGCATTCAGCCAAACAAGTCAGCAAATGTCAGAGAGCTCAACACCTGTCAGGCTGTTAAAGAGATATATTAGAGACTTCCTGGTGGAAAGATCTGACAGCTGCAGTAAAACCGACTTGTTGTGGTTAAAGCTAGAAAGATTCCTGGTAACTGAAAGTTCCCGGAAAAAGAGGTTGGGGCTTACATTCCTCAGGCTTCATCTCTGTGACTTTCTGGAGCCAGTTCCTCCACATCTGACAATCACACGGCTCGTGGGCCTCGCCGAGGCATTCCCTGCGGACACGAGGGTGATAAACAGAGCCGAGCACAGAGAAACCAGCACAAAACCGGCTTGTCACTTTAAAATACAACAGAAAGAGGGGATAACATTTCTGCTTTTAGCTTCTCTAACAGTGCTAAGACAAATTCTATGGACTCTGTGTGTGTTTATCCATGCCTGCAGAATAATAAATCATGGTGTTTACCAGCAGAACAGGTGACCCTTGCCACAGTCGACAGCTGGGGACGGCAGCAGGGGAAAGCTGTGGGGGTCGCTGTCTCCGGGCCCCGGTCTGGTGAGCCTCACCGCTCGCTCACAGCGAGCCGCGGGACACCAGCGGATGGATGGGTTGTTTTCCACGAAGGCCTGCAGTACGGCACGCATGAGAGGTTAAAAAAAAAACAGAGATAAACGTTGGACGGCAGAGAGGAAAAGGTTACACAACACTTCAAAAAAAAACAAACAAAACGAAAACAAACACAAACTGGACGTAAAAAAATCTTTCCTTTGATTCCAATAATCTGAACATGATGTTTCTACCTTGATATCGAACTGCAGGTACCGCTGATCCATCTCTCTAGAAACCACGCTCTCTATCACATGCACAGGAACCAGCTGGTAACACTCGTAGGCAGGGCAGAAGATGTTGTGAGCATCGCCTTCCTGAATCTTTATGTTGAGAAACCTGAAGGAAAACAAGAGAAAACAATCAATACGGGCAAAAAGTAAGAACACATACAGGCACACGCTGGAATTAAGGCCTTACCCCTCCCAGCAGGATCTGCAAAACTCATGACCGCAGGACATGTCGATCGGGTCTTCAAAGACTGAGATGGAGCAGAGACAGATGCCACACTGCAGGGAGAACGCAGAGAGAACAGACACAATCATAAGCTGTGTGATAAAACTGTCCTTAAAACAATACTGTTCGCTTCTAATGAACTGCATTTTTATCTCTAATGTAAAGTATTCACATTTTTCATTTTGTCATGTTGTTACCAAACCCTACCAAGTATTTTATTGGGAATAAATGTGAAGGAGCAATACAAAGAGGTACTGAAGTGGAGTAGCTTAGAAAGTTTTCTAAACAAAAATATTTAAAAAAAACTGAGTACTTGCTCCCCTGATTTGACACGTCGATCAATCATTTATTTTGTTGCTAATTTGACCTGAAAATCGTCGGGGGCAACTCTCTCTCTCTGCCGGCTTTGCAGCATTGAAAACACATTTTTGCACATTCCTCTTTGCAAAATTATATCTGTGAACATTGATCTTCAAGTCTCGCCTCTCCCACCTTTAGGTCAAGTAGTTCATCTGAAGACGTAAATATGCGTTGATGTAGAAAGCATTGTAGCTATGGCTATGTGTTTTGGGTGACTGCCCTGCTGCTAAGTGAACCCCTGCCTCAGTCTAAAGTCTTTCATAGCCTCTAACAAGATTTCTTCCAGGATTTAGCTCAATTTTCCATTAAATGTTTTTATGAAAGCAAAAAAAAAAAAAAAACCACAGAAAGATGAGAATAGCAGGAGGGATGCTCTTTGATCTGCTGCTACCAAACCACAAATTTAACTCTTCATATAAAGGATGGTTTCCATGGCTTCTTGCTGAACTCTTTCCTCGTTTCTCACCGTAGCCAGGCCTTCCTCTCCTGGTGTCAGGCAGCTGTCGGTGGGGGAGGTGAGGGTGAGCGTTAGGGGTGAGCGCGGCGTCCTTGGAGTGCGGGGAGACGGCAGGGTGTCCCAGGCGTTGTAGCCGCTGGGCGGTGGGGTGGGCATGGTGACGCCAGAGCGCTGGCAGCAGCCTTCAGCGTCAGACATCCAGGCTTCCAGAAGCTTTTCTCTGTCCCAATCTGAAAAGAAGGACATAAACAAAAGACTTTACGGCATCATTATGGAAACATAATTTTAAAATATCATATTTCGCCAAGTCAGAAGCACAACCATGCGCTCGAAGCAGGGCTTCAGCCGTGAAAAGTGGAGCTTGCAGCATGTCCGCAGTCTCTACGATCAGCATGTCCTTCAGTCGGCGCAGATCCTGAATCTTCAGTCCCTCGTAAGGCTGGAAGGAGAGAGAGAGAGAGAGAAATATTCAGGTGAAAATTTTTTTTTAAAAAAATCAGGAATGAGGTCAGCTTTTATCAAAAAACGAGAAAATAACTGTGCTGTGATAAAACTGGGCAAGTGAAAAAGATCATGAGAAATGAACAGATATCAGGTGAAGAGCGGGAGGAGGGTGGCTGTAGTGGTGGGATGAGGAGATTAGGCATTAGCATGGATTTGGCTGCAGGAATAAAGATCAGACTGGTATCTGTTGGCAGCAGCTGCTGCTATACAACTGTGCTGCTCCCCAAAATGCAAGGAGGCTGAGAAACAGGACGAGAGGTCTGGTATGTGCGTGCACTAAGAACCACTAAGCTGCGACCTTCGTTAAAGAAAAAACGCTGCGAAGACACAATTCTGTTGATGAAGTAAAAAAAAAAAATAAATACTTTAACAATGTGAAAGCTACGACCTATTTGGTACAAATCTACAGTTTGTTCTTAGGCAACTTGTTTACTTTGACAATATAGCATTTAGCCTGAGAGTCCAATAATTATGATACTTTTTGTGCTTCTTTTTTACTATCAAAACAAAATTTCTCTAGAACTGCAATAACTTTGCCTTTAGAAAGCTTTGCCAAGTCATTTTGTTGACAAAATGAAGACATATCTGAAAGGTAACGATTAAAGCAACATAAACAAAGTTAAGGTGACATTAGTAAAAAAAAAAAAAAAACAAGAAGGGAAATATTCTCACTGTCATTACATAATCATTTCAGCCATGTGTGTAGTTCTGAAGCAAAATGTGTCAAGAAAAAAAAAATCGATTCAAAGATACGACACAGGTATAAAAATAACTTGAGCCAGCAGGAACCCCCCCCCAGATCTCGTGACCGTGCTCTCACATCCTTATATTGCGGCAGGCGGCTCTCGCCGTGTGCGTCTCCGTTTGACTGCTGAGCCGAGGCGCAGGAGAAAACCATCTGCGACTCCAAGCTGAGTGCCAAGTCGGTGTGGTGGTGCCGCTCGGCGTGGTCGCAAGGCGTCAGCTTGTCCTCGTCCTCCACAAAGAGATCGGCCTCGCTCTGGATCAGCAGCTACGCACCGGGAGAAGAGCAGGAACGCAGAAAAGAGGAAAGATGATAATAAGAGATTAATGCATGAGAATGGATTTACGTCGGAGGAAACAAGGTGGCAAAGTTAAGGTTTCCACAGAAGCTAAGCCCGGTTGGTTGTGGAGCTCAGCTGCAACTCATCCAGCGGTCCGCTGTGTTTTTGAGTTTAAAAATCTGACAGGAAATTTGAAAATATCACTCGATAATTATGTGTTGTTGAAAGATTAATATCTGAACACCAATTATAAAGTCTTAAAAAATGCAATTTAAAAAAAAAATAAATAAGCAATGCTAAGCCTGGTGGGGGCACAAGAAAAGCCTGGTGGCCCACCAGGCTTATAATACACTGAGGCAAACCTTTATAGAGGTAGTAGAATATTAAGAAGCATAACAACTATCTATAAGCAGTGGAAATGTAGTGGTTTCTAATGTTCCTAAAGTTCAATAAATTAGTAAAAAAAAAACAAAAAAAACCCGAAGAAAATGATAAACAAATTACTGATGCGTTTTATAATACTGACTCAGTTTTACACATTTTCCAGATTTTTAGATGTTGCAAAACTTTAGAAAACAAAAACATAATTTTCCTTTCACACCAAAGTCATAAAATCTAAATAAAATACGCTGGGCTCTGCGGCTTTACTTTCAGGAAATGTAAAAAAGCTTAAAGCTTAAAGAGGAGAAAAGATATAAACATACTGTCTCAACAGGGTTGGTCTCACCTCCACGCAGCTCTTCATGCCTGCAGCAGCGGCGTAGTGCAGGCAGGTGCTGTGGTGGTTGTCGGTGGCGTTCACGTTGGCCTTCTCGTACTGGCCTCCTTCCAGTCTGGCGCCGGTCCAGCTCAGGATCATCTGTCCTCGGGAGGAAAGCTCATCATTATTACATCTTAAATTTGCGTACACTGCACACTGCTGTTGGTGCGTTCGTACCTGGAGGCAGTCTGCGCGGCGCTGCTCGTCCCTCTGCGGTCGGGCCAGCCGTGGAGAGAGCGCTCCCTCTGGCAGCAGCAGGATCTGCGGGCCTTGGCACAGGACGTGGAGGCATGTCTCGTTGTGCACGTTGCGCTTGTTTGGGTTGCCCTCTTTGCTGAACAGGAACGACCTAGCCGAGACAGAAAACAGCAGGTGAAACTCAAATATACGTATATAAAAAAAGAAGTTGTAAAATAGAGTGCTGAAGGAATCAAACAAAGAATAGTACGGGAAGCAAACAGACGAAGAGAAAGAACAATTCAGGTGTGTGGAAAAAGTCAGGATGCTCAAGATGAACAGCAGAAAGCGGTGGGAGAGGCAGTATGGTACAATATTGACTATTTCTGCTCAGCATCTCAGAGATAATCGTCATCCTGGTTGACACACGGGGATTAAATGAATGTGCCTGTTGCAGGAGTCAGGATGTTGCTGCAGCTCTGTTTAGCAAACAGTTTTCCTTCTGCCATTTGTCTGTCAAAACCCCCATTTACTGATTAGAGCCTTTTAGTTGGCACCGTGCTTCTTATTCGACTAAACGGTACGGCCTTAGAAAGCCTGATTATTTTAGACCCGAGCCTTTCTAATCAGACTTTAATAAAAGAAGAAAACAGGATGCGATGGCAAAAAGGTAAAAATGACTTAATCTGGGTTGTTTTCCCCACAGACTGTTCAGATGTAAATGGACGAGCTTCACAATGACCATTCTCAGGTCGCATTAAAAATGTGCCGCATTACAGTGACCATCGTTGCATCCAAGTAAACATATTAACACATAAATTTCCTCAGCTGAACAATAAATACTACATTAACAGGCCTGAGGAAGCATATATATATGCTTCCTCAGGCCTGTTAATGTAGTATTT